ACATCATGCTGAGCAGGCTAAGGCCAAATCTCATTTATGTCAAGCAAGCAAATAAGAAAGCTCTTCCAAGGGTTTGTGGAAAGATACCGTTGTCCTTCCTTTTCATTTTCCCATAAACCTTCTGGAGGCCTCTCGTATATGAAAACCACAGGGTATTAATTAGTGGTTCCCAGGGAAAGGGGGGAGGGGGCAAAGGGAGATTTTGCATCCAGGACGGTGAGTTTATGGTCACGGGAGGAACAATTCAGAACTAAGTTGGTGAGGACAGCTGTATGAAGAACGTCTCAAATCACATGTGCACACCGGCATTGTTCAACTGGTGTGTTTGGTTGTGTTGTCTTCATCACAGCAAGAACAAAACAGGAGTAGACTTAGAAAAATTTCCCTCTAATTTGCTTTTCTTTGAAGCATGCAAAATGTTACTTATCTTCAGAAGACTGGATGTGGACATGCTAGAATCTGGAGACAAGCCTCTATTAACACCAAAAACAATTTCCTCGTGCATGGCATAGTGAATATAGTTAATGTCGCTGAAATGCATGCTTAAAAATGGTGAAAAACAATGAGTGCCTTGTTATATGTCTTTCACCCTGATAAAATGAAAAGTAATAACTTCTTGGATCTGAGCGTTTCTTCAACTTTGTGAAAATGCTTTCCTGGCATCTTCACATCGGTTCTAACAGCACCCTCGTGCTGAGCTTGGGCTCATCAGCAGCCTGGTTCTAGTTGTCTCGGTCTGGACTCCAGTTTGCCACATGGAGCTGGGTGACCTTTAGCATGTCACTAAACTTCTCTGTGCCTCAGTTTCCTCATCTATGAACATGGGGACAGCAGCAGCAGGCCATCCAGAGGGCAGTTACGAGCATCAACTAATTAATGTCAGAAAAGAATAAAATGCACATGACGTACTGCTTGTTAAAGAAAATACACGAATGAACGAACGCATGAGCAGAAGCCAGCTTTAGGGAAAATTAAGAGGCGTGGTCAAAGTCACACCAGTGGTTCACACGGCATTGAAGCCCAACCCAGCCCCTTCTCCTTTCATTTTGCTGGCCTTTCAATAGTAATAATCTAGGAGAAAACACACACGCACACACACACACACACAAATCTTGGAAAACCATAGATTGAAGATTCCAACAGAACCCACATCATAGCTCACAGACTCCAAGCCTTCAATGGCCCCAAGTTGCGTCTAAAATCCCCCTCAAAGCTGATACAGCCCAACAGTCCTGCCTCAGGCCAGTGTTGAGGGCTGCAAATCCCCCAGTGCCCTGAGATGACTTACTTGCTTGTCGGACTCATTAATCACAACACCAACAGAAACACGCCCACTGTCCCAGAGTGGACACTGATTGGGATTTTGCGTGGCCCCAGCTATTGCAGAGCACAAGGGCTCAACAGGGTTTTCTGGGCGGTCATCTTTATGGAAGCTAACAGCCAGCACTTTCTTTCACAGCACCGCTGGATGAATTAAAACCAGGAACCTTTAGGTTAGTTTTCATGGTTGGTGTTAGGTGCCATCGAGTCGGTTCCGACTCAGAGTGACCCCAATGTAGGGCTTCCAAGTGGCTGGTGAGTCTGAACCACCAGCCTTGCAGTTCAAACTGACCTTGTGGCCCAATGCCTACCCACATATAATCCATCTGCAACCAGGAGAGAAGTCACGGTTCTAGAGAAGGTGCCGTGGGCAAAGCTGGTGTATGGCCAGGCGCTGCCCTTACTGGTTAGAGGATTTGGGGTTGGCAATGGGTCCCCCTCAAACTTACCTTCACCTGCTCTGAGGCAGCAATGCCAAGGCCTCCCTACCATGTGGGTTGTTTCTAAAACTGTTGTTGTTTGTCTCTGAGTTGGCCCTGGCTCGTGGCAACATGACGCCTGACAGAAGAGAACGCTGCCCGTCCAGCCCCATCCCCACCACTGGCCATGGAAAGGAGCCTAGTGACCCACTGGGTTTTCTACAAGTAGATCTCCAGGACTTTCTTCCCAGGCTATCCTAGCCTGGGAGTTCTGCTGAAGACGGAGCAGCATCCTAAAAACACACAAGCCTCCCCTGACAGACAGAGAGGCTGAGCATGAGGGACACTGGAGGGACTCGAACCCAGGTCTCCCGCACGGAAGGAGAAGGACCTCCACTGGACCACAGCTGCCCACCTTTCAGTCAGTCCATTCTTGTGTCTGGTGCCCCCACGTGTGCAGAGCAGAACTGTTCTGTCAGACATAGATGACCAGGCCTATCTTCTGAGGCTCCTCTGGAGGAACTCAAACCATCACTTGTCCAGAACTTAACCATCTGTGGCACCAGGGGCGCCCTTTTAGAGTGAGATGCATGCATTTTTAAAGCAGCTAACAAAACAGTCAAAGGAGGCCAACTAGTGTAGCGGCTTACGCATTGATCTGCTAACTGCCAGGTCAGCAGTTCAAATCCACCAGCTGCTGAGGATTTCTGCTCCCATAAAGATTTCAGCCTCAGAAACCCTATACAGGGTCACTATGAGTCAGAAGCCACTGGATGGCACAGAGCAGCAGCAACGAAACAGCATGGGGCCTGGAGCACAGGGAACATGCACATAAGGGACTCTTATCCTACCCGAAGGCTCAGAATCCCAGAACACAGCTTCCTGTCCTTGTCCCAGATACCGACTGGGCGCCTTCAGTGCCCAGGAAACGCTGCACTCAGGGAGCAGTCTGAAAGCTGACGTGCCCTATCAGTCCCCTACTGCAAGACAGCACATCCTTAACTCCACTTTGTTGTTGTCAGGTGCCATCGAGTCGGAACCGACTCATAGCGACCCCATGCACAGCAGAACGAAACAATGTCCGATCCTGGGCCAACCTCACTACCGCTGCCACACTTGAGGCCATCAATGATGCCACCTGGCTAATCCATCTCGTTAGGGGTCTTCCTCTTTTTCTCTGACCCTCCATCTTACCAAACATGACATCCTTCTCCAGTGACTGGTCCCTCCGGACAATATGTCCAAAGTATGAGAGACAAAGTTTGGCCATCTTGGCCTCTAAGGAGCACTCTGGTTGCACATCTTCCAAAACGTCCTTCTAAACAAATACGTTTCTCACAAACCCATGTGGGGGTGTCCACCCACTATTCCCCAGCTTGTTCTAAACAAACATGCTTCCCCCATGAACCCATATGGGGGGGCATCCACCCACTCTTCCCTCACCTCATTCTAAACTGACATGTTTCCCCATGAACCCATGTGGGGGGCATCCACCCACTCTTCCCCCACCTCGTTCTAAACTGACACATTTCCCCCATGAACCCATGTGGGGGGTGTCCACCCACTATCCCCCACCTCGTTCTAAACTGACATGTTTCCCCCATGAACTCAGGTGCAGTAACCTGTCCGTTGCCACATTTTATGAGCCTCATGTGCAATCACCGAATTGCTTGCAAAGCTACTGGCTGAGTTCAGCAAAAACACAGAAGGCAATTCTTAGTCTCTTCTGTCACCATTAGAAGTAACCAGAGTGAATAAAAATTCCCTGCGGAAGATCTCATCGGATAAAGGAATAAATCATCTGGGAATGCGCCGTGCCTGGAGAAGTCCCCGGAGGTGGAGACTTGACACAGGCATGCAGATGTTGACAGGCAGGCTACTCAGGTAGCATCACCCTCCGCGCCACCGCCTCACCCGTAGAAGGAACAGTAGTGGGTTCATTTTGTTTTTGCCTTTTTTTTTTTAGAATGTTATATATTGATGCTTATGGTTCCCTCTACACCTGACAGCGTTTACCTGAGCAGGTGAGGAGGGAAGACGGCTCTGAGAGCCCCCCACTCTACAACCATACCGGAAGCGAGAAGCCAAGAGACCAAAGGCTGCTCTTACTTGAAGGTGTTCTCTTGACGACAGCCGCGGAGTCAGCCTTTTTCTGTGGATTGCTCAGGGTCTTTCCTTTTCCTGTGACCCCGTTAGATGCCACTGGAGGCTTTTTACCCTTGAACTGTTGAAACAAACATATGAGAACATGAGACACGAAACCAAGCCCGGACATTCGTTCCTTTGCAGTAAATTGTTTCCGTCTGGGACCTCGCATAGACAGATAAAAAACGAGGCTGACAGAAAGCCACTTTGGTTTCCACACATCAGATGGGTGCGACTTTCCCCCGAAGAGCTAAGAATACTCTAGAAGCTGGGTGCAGAGCAAGCAAGGGTTTGCAGAATGACTTCTGTTGTAGTCACAGCACTTATACCTCTCTGTGGGGAGGTCAGAGGCACAAATCAGGGAATCGGCAGCTAATCTGCCCAGCGCACTCAGTGGAGATTACTCAATGCGTGTGTGGTGGGAGAGGAACAGCTTTTATTACTGGGTTCTGTTCAGGGACGTGGCAGGACTGGACACTTAGCTTTCTGCTTCACGGGTTTTCTCACTGAGGAAGGGCAGGTCTGAGGAAGGAAGCTTGAGAAGCAGAGTGTAGTTGTAATTTAGTTTAGGCTTCGGCCTAGCAGTACCTCTAGTTTTGGACTGCTGTGTGTTTTGTTGAAGTGGTAGAACATGTTCGTCATGAATCAGAATCCACTGGGTGGTAATGGGCTTTGTTTTTTGATTTTATATGCTCTTTAGTTGTGTAATAAATTCAGCAGGATGAAAAAGATGATGCGTGCTTTTTTTTCTCCATGATGCTCTTCTCTAGTTCTATGGTGGTGTTGTCATGTGCCATGGAGTCAGTTCCGACTCATAGCGACCCTGCACAGGGTTTCCGAGGCTGCAAATCTTTAGGGGAACAGAAAGCCTCATCTTTCTCCAGCGGAACATCTGGTGGTTTTAAACTGCTGACCCTGAGGTTAGCAGCCCGATTCGTAACCACTACGCTACCAGAGAACCTTCTAGTTCTATGGTAGGACTAGATTATTTTGGCGGGGGTGGGGTGAGGGGTACGGGGTGGGGAGGCCACAGACAGAGCTGGCTTCACATTCTGGCTCTACATGGGAGAGCTCCCCACAAACTAACGACCTTAATTCAAATAGATTCCCAGGAATCATCATTAAAACCACACAATGTTGTTACTGTTGTGATGTGCCATCAACTCAGTTCTGACGCACAGTGACGCTCTGTAGGGCTTCTGAGGAGTGGCTGGTGGGTTTGAACCTCCAACCTTGCAGTTCAGTGCTTATCCTACAGTGCCACACCAGGACTCCCAAACAACGGCTTAATTAGAATACAGCGTCTGCCTTGGGCGCCATGCCCTTTTATAGAACCATTGATAATGGGCTTCAACTGAAAATGGCCACCTGAAAGGCGTGGCGAGACACCTGGGCAACAAGTTGGTGGAAAAAATATCGAGAAGGTGGCACTGCTGGAAGAATGTGACCAGTGGCAGTGAATCGCACTGTGCAGATGTTAACCAACCCCCCCCAAAACCCCCAAACAACAACAAAACAATATATCTCCACCAGTGACGGGGGTGGAGCTCTCGAGCTTTTGTTTCCGTATCTGAAACTGTGAGGGTGTCGTGACCTACCCAGGTTTCTAAGACGCCTCATGTGTCTATGGCATGTGGTGTTCTGTGGGTGTTTGGTGAGTGATAGGCTCCTTCATGCCCTGCTACAATGACCGAATGAGAAGAAGAAACCCAAGGGCCAATCGTCTGACATGCAAAATGTGCCTCCTCGTTAAAAGAAGTCAGCTAACGTGAACAAAAACCGAGGTTAGTCAAACCACGTGTCAAACAACCCACCCTAAGTTTGTTGTTAAGTGCCGTCGAGTCGGTTCTGACCCATAGCGACCCTGTATAGGGTTTCCAAGGAGCAGTCGGTGAGCTTGACCCGCCACCCTTGTGGTTCAAACCGACTTTGCAGTCCAGTGCATTAACCCACAGCGCCACATCAGGACTCCCCTCCCTAATTTGTTGTTGTTGTTGTTGTTGTTGTTAGGTGCCATGAAGTCAGTACCTACTGATAGCGACCATATCTACAACAGAACGGAACACTGCCCAGTCCTGGGGTTAGGGTCATCCAAATGTCAAACCCAAAAAACCAGGATCCAGTGTTGTCAGGTTAATTCTGACACACACACCTCTGGAGGGCAGACCCAAACTGTCCCCGAGGGTCTCTGAGGTTGTCACCTATACACCGGCACACTGTCAAGGTCACGTCTTTCTCCTGTGGAGTCACTCACTGGTGGGTTTGAACTGGTGGCCTTGCTGGAGCTCTGAAGCACTGTGACCCCAACGGCATCTTGAGTACCGTGTTCTCAGCTGCCAATCAGAAGGCAGGTAAGTACACAGACGCACAGCTGCCAGGGAGGGGCAGCAGGATGCACTTCAAAAGCGCTCGCTCATGGAAAGACAGCAGCTGCGGGGCCCTTCACCAGGGAAAAAGATCCCCAAATCAACATCTGGGAGAAAACAACTCTCCCGTGTGATTGTTGATGGAACCTTTCTATGGGGGTGCTGCTTCCTGTCTGCAAGCCTGGGGTGGCACCTGGCATTCATGGGGCTCCACAAATGGAGGGGCAGGGACAGGAAACGCGGTCTCCATCTGCCGTCCGTAAGCAGAGTATTTTTACATGGTCACTTAGATCTTGAAGCAAAGCATTTCAAAAAGTCTTCGATTAAAAGCGCAAATGTTGTGTTTCCGTAGATGTGTCACTGCGGTGTGGATGACAGCCCAACCGTCCGCAGTTTATCCTTCAGGAAGAGTGTGAAATCCTAGCGATGCTCTCTCCCAGGCTCTAAGGTAAGGGCCCTGGTAGTGCAGTGGATCAGGCATAAGGCTGGGAACCACAGGGTCAGTGGTTCAAACCCACCAGAGTTATCACAGGACACAGATGAGACTCTACTCTGTAAAGACATACAGCTCTGGAAGCCCCACGCAGGGTGGCTATGAATAGGAACTGGCTTGATATCTGTGGGTTTGAGGGGGTGGGGGGTTGGTTTTAGGGAGATTGTGGAGTCCTGGTGTGGAACCTTAGGTTAAGCATTCGACCTCAAGGTCGGCAGTTCAAACTCACCAGCCGCTCCTAGGGAACCCTATACAAGGTAGCTATGGGGCAGAACCGACTCAACGGCATGTAACAACAACCACCGGAGGGATATTGTAGGAGCTCTGGTAGCATAGTGGATTATGACCCGGGCTGCTAATCACAAGGTCCGTGAGTTTGAATCTACCAGCTGCTCAAGGGAAATATGAGGGTTTCTTTAAACCCATAAAGGTTTACAGCCTTGAAACCTGTTACAGGGTCGCTGTGCCTCAGCCCTATCCCACAGCACACTATCAGCACCACCACCAGGGAGGCTGTGGACTGGGTGGTTCTGTAGGACAAGCACAGGACTGCCAATCACAAAGTCTGTGGTTCAAGCCCACCAGCCTCTTCATGGAAGAAAAATGAGGCTTTCTGCTCCCACAAAAGATTTAAGGCCTTGGAAATCCTATACAGGGTCGCTATGAGTCAGCACAGAGGCCGTAACACTTAACAATAACAGTGAGACTGTACACTTTTATGTTCATTACGGAAAGATTTGGGGGCATGAAGAATGATCCTGTTTAAAGAACAAAAGGCAATTATGGTTAGGAACCAACCATAGACTCACATGTACATACGATTTCATGAACGTATTAAATAAACACTAAGGAGCTCTGGTGGCATAGTGGTTATGAATCCGGCTGCGAACCTTAAGGTCAGCAGTTTGAAACTACCAGCTGCTCCATAGGAGAAAGATGAGGCTTTCTGCTCCCGTAAAGATTTACAGCCTCAGAAACCCTGTTCAAGGTCGCTATGAGTCGGTTCCGACTCCACGGCACATAATCACCAACTACCACCACCAATATAGGTTCAAGAATGCCCTGTCTTTAAAAAAATCAAACAAAAGAACACAGAAACAAAATCTTTGCCTTTAGTTACCAAAAGTCCCAAAACAAATTGAGAAAATTCTCCACAGAGAGCCAGATACAGAGAAAAATAAAACAAAACAGAAGAAGCAGAGCTTAGACAAAACAAACTCAGCTAGTCAGATTTCCACCCGCTTCTTGGTGAGCGTCTGCAAATTCCAGACGAGTCTGGAAGAGGGAAACATGCATGCTCCTCCCTTGACTCGTCCTGTGTAAGGCAGTCTGGCGGCGACGTTAACATCCCAGAGTCCTACAGGGGACGGTGACTTGGTGGTCACCAGTACAGAACATTCCAGAACGCAGCGCTGTACCTGAGAGTTGAGCCCGAGAGACGCCCTCCCCCGAGAAGAGGTGTTAGTGAGAGGCGGGGGGCTGGACAGACTGGACGAGGCAGGATGTTGGTAGTGGTTAGAAGACAGTTTGTCCGAAGAGGACGCCCTTCTCTCAGCAGGCGGGCAGCGTGCAAAGATTTTCGGAGACGGCAAGTTATCATACAGGCTCTCATTATCATAGAACACGGCTTCTCCCAGGCTTCTGCTTCGGGAAGCAGGAAGGCTGTCCTCGGGGTCCCACTGCAATACACAGAGCTAGTATATTAATGATGGGAGCACAGAGCTCAAGGCAGAGGGGCCACAGGCAGGTTGTCCTCGGGGTCCCCACTGCCATACACAGAGCTATTATGTTAATGATGGGAGTGCAGAGCTCCAGACAGACAGGCCACAGCATCCCAAACCCACAGACCCGCACCCCCAAGGCAGACCCAAGCCCGTTCCCGCCGAGTCAGTTCCAACTCCCGGTGACTTGGCTGTAAGTGCTGGGGGGTAACAGAAGAAAGAGAAAGCTGTCTGCTCCCGAAAAGATGGACAACCTCAGCACCAGTAGGAGTTGCTGTGAGTCAGACTCAGCTTGGCGGCAGTGCGTTTTAATGGGGCAATGGTTACATGTGTGGTGGGTGCCAACCAAAAGGCTGGTGTTTTGAGCCCATCCAGGGGTTCTTGGGGACAAAAGACCTGGTTGTCTTCTCTCATGGGGAAGCTTGCTGGCAGCCAGTCTCTCCTATAGGGTGGCAGTGAGTTGGAATTGACTCGAGGGCACACCACAGCTCCCAGCAAGAGTTTTCATGGAAGCAGATTGGCAGACTTTTCTTTGTTGTCCTTGCTGGGTGGGTTCACACCACCAACCTTTAGTTTAGCAGCCCATTGTAAACCATTTGCCTGACCCCAGGCCACCGTCCATATACCCACGGTGCTATCAGTAAATCGGTGCCCTCGGGGGGTGGGGGTGGGGTGGGGAGGGCTGTCAGGTCAGTTGTCTCTCCTAGCCACTGTGTATAAGGTTTCTGAGACCGTACATCTTTACGGGAGCAGAAATCCTCATTTTTCTCCCATGGAGCAGCTAGTGGATTCAAACTACTGACTCTGGTTGTTAGCAGCCCAGCTTGCAGCCCACTGTGCTACCAGGGTACCTCAGAAAGGGATGGAAGGATGCACAGACTTCAGGAAACGTTCATGCCTTAGCTCAGCCGAGTGTCACCGGCGTACGAAGGTTCTGTTTTGCTTTGTTTCTTTGGAACCCCAACAATTTGACATTTCCCTCTTTGGAAAATTAGGGATGACAGTGGCTTGGCAGGGATCCCATGTTAGAACATTCTGGAATGAGATGCTGTGTTTGGCAGTGAAGTCTGAGAGCCCCCGTCCTCAGAGCAGAGGTGTTAGTGAGGTAGAGGCGTGGGCAGACGGGGAGGTACCAGGACTGACAGATATGTGACCAATGCTGGACTCAGAGATGGAAGGAGCCCGGGACCAGGAGGGGTGAGAAGAGCGGGCAGACCAACTGCCTTGCAGATGTCACTCCCCATGCCTAAAGATACTGACACGTCCCATCCTCCCATCCTCGCAGTGACTCTGAATGTGAGGGACAGACTGGTCACTAAGAGGGACAAGGCAGATTGAAGACTCAGGCTCCTAACCATCGGCTACTGTGTCGGTGGATGCCTCACGTAGTTTGATTAAAGAAAGGTAAACATCTGTGGTAGACTCCTGTGGACTCCGTGTGTGCAAGAGCAGAACTGGGACCCACAGGGGTTTGTTTTTTTTGGGGGGGAGGGGCTGGTATCTCAAAAGCAGATCACCAGACCTTTCTTCCGCAGTCCCTCTGGGTGGAATGAAACCTCCAACCTGTTGGTCAGTAACTGAGTACTTTCCTGTTTGTAGTGACCAGGGTAGCTACAAGATGGGGTACAATAGGCAAACTCAGACTCTTCCAAATGCCCCATGTAGGCGTCCAAAACTTAAGATTCATGGGTCTGAGGTAGCCTTCTGCGGGTTCCCCGGGGAAAGTGTCAGAACTCACTCACAGTCTGTTTTAAGAGCAAGAAACCAAGTCAGTGTAGAAATAGGGTGTGTCAAAATCTAATTAACCTGTGGCCCTGCAGGATAAGTACAAGACCACAAGGTTGGTTTGAACCACAAGGTCAGTGGTTCAAACTCACCTAGTGCTCCTTGGAAACCCTATACTGGGTCCATATGATCCGGAACCTACACTACAGCAGTTAACAACATTATTGGAGGAAAACTCCTAATGTGGCGCTGTAGGATCAGCACTGGACAGCGAACGAAAAAGGTCAGTGGTTCAAACCCACCAACCATTCCTCAGAGACGCTATACAGGGTTGCATGAGACAGAATTGACACCACAGCACACAACAACAACAACAACATTATTATTGGAGGTAAGAGCACTGGTTGGGCTGCTAACTGCAAAGTCAGCAGTTCAAACCTACCAGTCGCTCCTTGGGAGAAAGATAAGGCTTTAAGCTCCCACCAAGATTTACAGCCTTGAAAATCTTGTACAAGGTCGCTAGGAGTCGAAACCAACTCCACAACACCTAACAACAACAACTATTGGGGGGGGTACAATAAACACACCTGTTGGTGTCAAGTTGATTCCTGCTCCTGGCACCCCCATATGGGTCAGGGCAGAACTGTCCTCCACAGGCTTTTCAATGTCTGATTTTTCAGAAGATCACCAGGTCTTTCTTCTGAGGTCCCTCTGGGTGGATGCAGATCGCCAATGTTTTGGAGAGCAGCCGGGCATGCTCACCATTTGCATCCCCCCCCACCCCCCGGGACCATTTCATAAAGGACTTAAAATAGCTACTTCAAGGGACAGAGACATTTCAAAACATAGGCACTGAGGTATAAATTAACATCAGCAACTAACATAGCCTTGGATGCCTTGAACTTTTAAAGATCCTTCTAAATGGCCGTGCCTTTTCAGAAAAGGAAATATGAATCCACATTTCATGCTTGTTTTCCCCTATTTTTATAGCCTTCTGGTGGAGTTTGTCTCTGCCAGACTGTAATTAGAGCTTTTTGTTATAAAAATAGAAAAGTTGAAAATTCCATAAAAGGGTTGCTTCTACGTCTTTGCAGTCATTTCAATGTGTCTACTTATGTGATGCCTGGCCCCACCGACCATGTAAAAAAGGATGCTGTGAAAAGTGCCGTTGAGCTGGTTCTGACTCATAGCAACCCTGTCTAGGGTTTCCAAGGAGCAGCTGATGGTTTTGAACCACTGACCTTGCGGTCCAGTGCTTGTCCTGTGGTGCCACACCAGGACCCAAGGATCCGTTTCATGACAGCCTAACCCAGCCCAGCCCAGGGTTAGTAAAGCGTCTAAATGAGACTCATTGTGCCTAGAATACCAAAAGTCCCCGTTTTGTGGAAACTTACAAAAGCACCTATGGGGCCCTCAAAGAAGATTCTAGATTTTAAATATAGAGGGGTGAGACCCTTGTGTGAGCCATTTCATCTTGGTCTTACATGAGCAAAAGTTCTGAAACCTAAACATGCAGCGAGATGGGCAGGCATTGGGTCGTCAGTGGTTATAAAGCATGGCCTTGAACAATCTAGAAGCGAACCCCAAAGGAGACAGAGGGCCACCGAGCTGATAGACGAAGCAAGAGTTAAGGGGCAGGAGGCTGAGCTGGAAGGCCGGCCTGGGGCATGGCACAGCATGTCTTCAAAGCCCACACACCCGTCCCTCCACATGATGCCCGCAGAGAGGGCAGGCTTTTATCTCACAGTACACGCAGCTGTGAAGGGCCGACAGCAAGCTCACGCCCAAGGGAGCTGGATCTGCTGACATACAGACCTGGGTTCAGCTGTCTGCACTGAATGGGGAAACAGGTCCCAGCAATACAACTGCTGATACCACACAAAACTCCAAAACAGAGAGCAAATCCACAGGTACTGATATCAACAGCTGTTGTCCCCGACTCCTGGTTCTCCTGGGTGCATCAGCGAACTGTGCTCTTCAGGGTTTCCAGAAGAAGTTTGCCAGACCTTTCTTCTGAGGTGCCTCTGGGTGAACTGGAACTCTCACCCTTGCATTTAACAGTTGGGGGCTGGCATATACTCACCTATGACGTCTAAACAGCCTTGACCCAGGTGTCCAGGGTCCCCACCCCTCAAAGAATACCCTGAGGGGAGCTGCATGTTCCTGATGTGCTCACTGCCTTTCAGAGGGGAATTGCTCAGTTTCTCAGCCCACTGGGAATGGTCCAGGTTACAGTTCGACCATGATATTCTCTAACCAGCACCTTAACGTGTGCCAGAATCTCCAAGTAATGGCAGGCGGTTGGGGTGGGGATTTCATCTTGCCTCAAAGCACTCAAAGTAGAAAAGCAGCTGCGCGCCACTGGCTGGGAAACGGCCGCCCGTGGACAGGCCACACTCACCGAGCCGTTGATGCAGGGGACGTCATCGTAATGCAGGGCTGTACTGCTGGGGTGCGCGTAGCCGTTCGAGGTGCTTCCCAGGTAGGGGTTGATGGAGAGCCCGCGTCTGCTCATGAAGCTGAAAGACACAGAGTTACTGACCGTGGTGCCCACTGACCACCAGCCAGACCTCTGTGAGTGCCTCAGTGGAGATGGGGGCCAGGAGGACTGGACAGAACCGGGACATATCCTTCAACTATAGAACGAGGACCTGACTCACCTTCATCTCCTAGGGGAACCCTCATGCTGCATCGGCTTAAACACTGACCAAGAGGTCAGCAGTTCAAACCTACCTGGGGGCTCTCTGGGAGAAGAGACTGCCTACAAACCCCACGGGGGCAGCTCTTCAGAGCCCACCAGTCTCCCAGGACGCTCACAGCAAAGACCTACCCCCACCCCTCCAGTGTGTGATCTCCTAATGCCTGCGAGAAACATCCCGTCTCCATAACAGGGACCCCTTCACACACACAGGGGCATCCATATGTTGGGGTGGGGGGGGACACAATCCCACTGCGGTGAGAAGGCCCAGATTCACGCCATCGATTCACTGGTCCACAACAGGATGACTCCCATCCACCACCTGTTCTTAGAAGAAAGTCTGGTCTGCTGGCAAACAGCCGCATTGATTAACCATGGGGCTGAGACATGTCCCTTAGAGAGGTGGGAGGAGCCCTGGTCTGTGAATGCCTCAGAACACTTATTCAACACTGGTTTGAGGAGCCTGTGTGCACAAGGAGCCCTGGGGGGCGTAGTGGGTAATACTTGGGCTTGCTAACCACAAGGTCAGCAGTTGGAATCCACCAGCTGCTCACTCCCCAGGAGAAAGGCGAGGCTTTCCGCTGGATGTCACTGGGAACCGTGCGTCATATTCATTCTTGGGGCACTGGTGGTGCAGAGGTTCGAGTCCTGGTCCAAGCACTCCATGCACAGCTGCTGCCTATCAGTGGAGGCTGGTGCGTTGCTATGGTGCTGAGCAGGTTTCAAGGGATAGATGAGGAAGAAAGTCCTGAACATCAGCCAGGGAACGTCCTGTGGATCCCAGTGGTGACCACAGCCGGTCATAGCAATGCGGTGAGACTGGATGGCGTTTCATTCTCCCTGAGCTGGGGTCACCTCAGCGACAGACACATGGTGCCATTGGGCCTCAGCACAGCTGTGCCCTTTATAAGGAAACTGGATGGAGAAGCCTTGGTTCTAAACTTCACAGGGGCTTCCTAAGACCCCAGCTCACTGCCAACCACACCGGCTCCTGGAGGCTCCACTCCCTCCTTCCTGACCACCCTCCTCCCTATCACTGTCTCTGCTTTCTTCCTGGTATCACCAAGACAAGTGCTGCCCACCCCGTGGGTGTCAGAGTACAACTGCACTCCACAGGGCTTCCGACGGCTGCTTTTTCAGAAGTAGACAGCCAGGCTTTTCTTGTGAGGCACTGCTGGGTGGATTTGAACCCCCGACCTTTCAGTGAGCAGTCGACCACGTGAACCCTTTGATATTCTGAGCATCTCTTTATTACAGATTGTGCCATGTGTTTGTTTATTGTCCGTTTCTCCTCACTGGACTAGCAGCTTCCGGAGAACAAAGACTTTGCTCATTCTGGTCCCTGTGAATCTCTGAGGTCCAAGGACACCACCTGGCACATAAAAGTCACTCAACAAATGTGCATGGGAGAGATTTTCCCAGGAAGATGTGTCTGCTGTAAGTCAAACTGGAAATGTCTACGGAGATAACGCCACCCTCGTCCACTAATCTGGAGTGAAAAAACCTGTGTCCTCTCCAAGTGTCCTGTTTCTTCTCAGAGTTTTAGATTGCTCTGGTAACTAAAACAGAAAGAGCTGTCACTAAGTCAGCTGACTCAGGGCGCCCCCGTGTGTGTCAGCGTACAACTGCGGTCCACAGAGTTTTCAGGGGCTGGTTTGTTGGAGCAGTTGCCAGGACATTCTTCCAAGGTGTCTCTGGGCAGACTCGAACCTGCAACCTTTCCGCTAGCAGTTGAGCGTGTAAACCATTTTCCCTGCTATGGTAACGTGTTGTTTTTGTTATTAAGTGCCGTCGAGTTGGTTCCAATTCTTAATAAGCCTGTACAGGGTTTCTGAGGAGTGGTTGGTGAATTTGAACCGCTGACCTTGAGGTTAACAGGAAAAAGAGAGTGAATGATAACTAGGAAATATGCTTGTTGGATATGAAGTCTTGCAGCAAAGCCACGGAGTACTCTGCCTCCAGAGAGGGAGCGTGAGGAAATGACTTTTGAGGACTCCTTTCAGGGTTGCTGAGTTGGTGTTTGTGCTGAGCTGAGCTCCTGGGCCTTCAGGGAGAGTGTCTACTGCCCTCTGCTGGCAGAAAGCAGACAGGCAACCACACTGTATCTACTTCGTCAACAAAGTTGCTCTTTGATTTGTAATATAGTTTCCCCTCACATCTTTTCTTCATTTACTTCTGAGTGTTGTTTCTTGCTATCCCTCATCTTATTACGGCGATTTACCCAATTATGAAAAAAACACAGGAGCACATCAACCTCTGATGGTTATGGTGATAACGTCTCATAGAAAATCTCCGACTGGACCTCGGAAGAGACTCTGAAACTTACTTTTGAACATGGAGGAGCTAATGCAACTGCAAGAGGGATGAAGTTACTGAATGCAAGATTCCAGAGGGCGTGTTGAGAATGCAAAGTCTTACAGTGAAGTGTGCAAAGACCCGCAGTTAGGAAACCCAAAGGGAAGAAGGGGCTCAGCATTTCTGGGGGGGGAGGGTCGGGGGGGGGGGAAATAGTCAAGCCTCCAGTTGAAATATTGCAGGATTCTGCGGGAAAATATTGAATGGCACGGTAAGTATCAAAAGACGATGGAAGGAATGTACGAGGTCCGTGAAAACGGACTGGTGTCAGGGTTCCAGCTGATACATGGACAGGTTTATTCCATACAGAGCGTGTTTAAGCATGTTCCCATGATCAGTGGAGGGCAGCAGATGAGTTCTCTCAGTGACTCGGCTCTTGTCACGTAGTGGTGACGAGTCAGACTGCTATGCTCAAGGTTAGCAGTTCAAAACTATCAGCGGTTCCATGGGAGAGAGATGAGGCTTTCTGCTCCCATGAAGATGTATAGCCTCAGAAACCCTGTGCAGGGTCACTATGAGTCGGAACCGACTCCACGGCACACCACCACCACCACCACCAGTCTCCCTAGGGTGCCTTCAAATAAAGGCCCAATCAAAGAAGTGGCAGAGTGGTCAGCTTAGAAGGTTCTGATGACCAGCTTTTGGAATCCCAAAGGGATGAACATGATGGATTCTCGCAGAAGACACAGGAAGATCAGGGGGGCAATTACAAGGATGTTTTATGAAAATAGAAAAACTGCATTGGTGAGAAAGGTCAGGAAAATTATGCCAAGAATATTTGTTCATCACAATATTGCGCCAGCTCATCCTAAGAGAATTTCCCTGGGAAACCTTACCCCATTCACCCTCTAGCTCCGCTCTGGCCCCCTTCAGGCTTCCTTTAGTTCCCAGATTAAAACAACATTTAAAGAAACATGATTTGAGTCCCTCCAGAATGTCAAAATTGTGGCTTTGATGAAGAACACAGAATTCTTGGGGTTACAGGCATGGAGCCTCCATCTTCAGAAGTGGTTTTTGTTGTTGTTGTTAAGTACCGTGGAGTTGGTTCTGACTCATAGAGACCCCGTATAGGGTTTCTGAGGCTGTAAATCTTTACAGGAGCAGAAAGCCTCATCTTTCTCCAGCAGAACAGCTGGTAGTTTCGAACTGCTGACCTTGCGGTTCACAGCCCGATTCGTAACCACTACGCTACCAGAGCTCCTTGTTGTTAAGTGCCATCAGATCGGTTCTGACTCATAGCGACCCTGTATAGGGTTTCCGAGACCTATATGGAGGTTTCAAGAAGTTGAAGCTTCAAATTTAGATCTTTTTTTGTATAATAAAGTTTTCTGAGAATTTGTAACAATGCTTTTTGCCTGGGTCTGCATCCAACCATTTCAGGAGGTAGCATGTGATCAAGAACTGATGGATTGAAGGAAGAAGTCCAAAGTGCTCTGAAGGCATTAGCAGAAAACAGGGCTCCAAGAATTGACAGAATATAAATTGAAATCTTTCAACAAATGGATGCAGCATTGGAGGCACTCACTCATCTATGCCAAGAAATTTGGAAGACAGCTGCCTGGCCAACTGATTGGAAGAGATTCACATTTGTGCCCATTCTAAAGAGAGGTAACCCAGCGAAATGCAGAAATCATTGGACAACATTTTTAATATTTCACACAAGTAAAATTTTGATGAAGAGCAAATTGCAAAATCAGTTGCAGCAATACATTGACAGGGATCTGCCAAAAATTCTAGACAGATTTAGATGAGGACATGGAATGAGGGATACTATAGTGACATCAGATGGAACTTGGCTAAAACTGGAAAATACCAGAAAGATGTTTGCCTGTGCTTTATTGACTAAGCAAAGGCTTTCAACTGTGTGGATGATGACAAGCTATGGACAACATTGTGGAGAATGAGTATTCCAGAACACTTAATCGTGCACATAGACCAAGAGGCAGAAGTTCAAACAGAATGAGGGGACACTGAATGGTTTAAAATCAGGAAAGGTGTGGGTCTGGGTTGCATTCTTTCACCATACTTACTCAATGTGTATGCTGAGCAAATGATCCAAGAAACTGGATTATATGAAGATTGGAGGAAGACTCATTAACAACCTTCAGTGTGTGGATGACACAACCTCCCTAGCTGAAAGTGAAGAGGACTCAAACTATTCACTGACGAAGATCAAAGACCACAGCCTTCAGTATGGATTGTGCCTCAATGTAAAGAAAAGCAAACTCCTCACCAGTGGGCCAGTAGCTAACATCCTAATACATGAAGAAAGGCTGAAGTTGTCAAGGATTTCATTTTACTTCGGTCCACAATCAGTGCTCATGGAAACAGCAGTCATGAAACCATCGATGTATTGCATTGGACAAATCTGCAGCAAAAGACCTCTTTAAAGTGTTAAGACACAAAGATGTCACTCTGAGGACTAAGGTGTGCTTGAACCAAGTTACGGTATTTTCAGATGGCGCT